CACGAAAATCGAAATAAGTTTTCGTTAGTTAAATTTGCATGACAAACTCGTTCTAGATATTAAATTCGTTTTAAAAAATGTAAATATTATCGATTTTTCAAATGTTAAGGAATATGAATAATTTGTAGTTGATAAATTTACAAGTTTTAATTGAATTTTTTTAACGAAAATTTCTTCTCTTTATTAATTTTTTGATACGATTACATTATAAAAAATATTTAAATTTTAAATAAAACTTGAGCATGATTCGTTAAATTCAAATTTAAAATCGACCAATAGCAAGCATCGCTCGAATGACGTTTTTAAAATGATAAATAATGATGAAGAATTTAACGAATAGTGCTCATTCTTAATCTAGGATTATTTACGAACATGAAAACAAGAAGTATAATTCATCTCTTTAAGTTATAGCAACGCAACACTTGGGTGATCTGTCTAGGGAAAATGCCTTCCGGGAGGTCTTTTTAAGGGTAACTGGCCCCTATCCAGGCGTTTCAGACGTGGAGAAAACCCAGAAAACTCCAAGTGGATAAGCCCGTCCTGGCGAGGCGCGAACCCAGGATCCGAACTCCCCGTGTTCAGGGAACGGAACCGCTTGACCACTGGTGCATCATTTATAAATATTAGATATTTTAATGTAACATAACTAACTAAATTTCACAAATTTTTATCCGTATTATGAACTTGAAGATTTCTTTGTTTAATAACTTAATTATTGCGATCTTTTAAGGATATGATCTTTAAAAAATGCAAATTTAATGCCATTTTTAATCTTTTCCGGATAGATCTGTCAATATAATTTAAATATTTCTACATTTCAACCGTTTTTATTCGTAACAATATTAAATATCTTCTATCTTACCATCTTCCACGATCAACATCGCTTGATCATGCAAAATAAATAAATTACAATTACTGTAATTAAAAAAAAACCTCTGATGCACTACAGTAGCCCCTCGTTATATCGTTCATTCGGATGTCTTCCAAATATAAAAGCGCTTTATCCAATAATGGATAGATACACGGATTATATTGCGCCATCTGATATATCGCTCACTTGGTTTGTCTCCTTGTATGCGCGATATAACGAGGGGCTACTGTAATAAAGAACAGCCATTTACTACCAAGATACTGTTAGAAACTCGACGAATTTAACCAATTTTAATACTCTCAATAATAAAACTAACAAGTAATAAAGTAATTACAGTTTACCTCATTTTTTTCCGAACTATAATTGAGGTCGCACTCAACAAAAAAGAAAGAAAGAAAAGAATAAGGAAAAAAAACCTTATGAAAAGTTTTTCTCCATTTATAAAACTGACTTACTCGGCGAATTTCATCATAACATCGCTATGTGAGTCAGGTGTAAGAACTACCGTTGGTTCTTATCGAAATAGCTCAGTCTCTCGCTATCACCATAGAAATCACTTTTACTGAACAATTTAGTCACCTTAGCAGATTTCTTTTCTTTTTTTTCTCCAGTAATACCCACATTCGATGCTAGAGGGTATACTGAATATAAGTTCTAGCAGGTGGCCTTATTCGCGTGTGACTCCCTAACTTCTGACTTTTTCCTCATCGATTTTTGTCGGCGATACAATTTTTGAACTTCTTTCACGCTGTCAAAATGTATTCAGGACACTTACGCGATTTTGGTCATCATCTCAATTTTACTACATTCTCTATAACATTTTACATACCATCTTTTTCTTAACTTTTCCTCTAAAATCTACCACCGTCGTTGATCATATTGTAAAAGTATATAAATTTTTTTCCTCGCTGTTTAAAAACTAGAGTAATAAAGTATTTCGCGTGTCCCCACACTGATTGACTTATATACAGGTCTTGGGACGTACTTATCAACTTTCTTGGAAGGAACTTAAATATTAAAAACCTTTACATCCTTGGAGGTTCCCAAAGGTCTCCTTATTTTTAGAAAACCTGCAGTAGGCGGATAAATTTTTCACAACCCCGCGAAAGAAACCATCAAGGTTATGATAAAATATATATATAGAGAGACATTCATATCCACTTTATGAAGTCAATGATTCTGTGAAAATGTTTTAGAAATAAACCAGACAAGTTAAGATGGTGGAGTGCGGCGAAACAAATTTGTGTAAGTTCTATCCTTTTTTTTTTTGTTGTTTTTTTCCTTAACGACAATACATGGAGTAGAAGAGAAATTAAAGAATCTAGCGATCTTCGCTAACAATTTTTGCGGATATTATTTCCAGTTTCCACTTAAGCCGTGGAGGTTATTGACCTGTTCCATCAAGCGTCCGATTTCTCTCGGATCAGCAATTGTCCAATGTGGAAGGACACGCCAAGCGTCAGCCACCGGAAAAAGAATGATGCATGAGGCAAAGCGCCTCACTAGGAAGAAAAAAATACTCAAGTACATACATACACAGAAAGACTATTTAGAAAGTAAAGTAACTTCGTGACTTTTCTATGTACGATGCATCAAAATAGAACTAATCTATCAACATCACAATAAGGAGGCGGAGGAAGAGCACGTGATGCAATTTTGACTAATGAACTACTTCGAATTTCAAATGTTAACCAATAAAAAAAAACACCGTATATAAATAATATAAATCTGTTCGCTAACATATTAAATCTGCTTTGGGTCGTTGCTAAAATCTTATAAATGCTAATAAACTACCGAATATGCTAATCGATGAAACGTATGAATGCAAAATTTCAAATTATCATAACAAAAAAAAAAAGTAAAAGGCAAAAAATTTACAGAGCATTAATCTTTTGTATTTTAATATGTTTATTAAAAGGAATGTTTTGATTATGTTAATTTAAACGTTCCTTTTTTAATGATTTAAATCAGCGTATGCTAATCACGTGGTCCCTATTCCTGTATGGAAATTGCATCAAATGTGATAAACGTGTACAAAAATTGTATAAAAATGTGATATGATTAAGAGTAATTAGTTTCTCTGTACGTATTTAATATATTTACGACATGCAGTCGGTGCATTTAGGTTATAGCTGTTTATAAAAATGTTCAATATAATTATGACGTCTTGTCACGTATTGTATATAACACATCAACATATTCAGATATGATCCCGTTTTCCCATAAGTAACGAATTCATTTAATGATTAATACATATATATATATATAGTAAATATAAAGTTAGCAAATAAGTTGCATGTAGTGTCAATCAAGTAGCATGTATAATAATGCGAACAGTTTCTCAAAAAATTGTCATTAAAATATTCATTTAACAGTAGTTGTAGGCTTTATATGGTACTAATATAATAAATAATTTTTGAATATTTAAATGCGATTTAAAGAGAAGTCATTCGAGTACAGTTGAACTAACGAATCATATAATTCAAGCGTGTCTATATGTAAAAATATTCAGATAAATTATAAACTTGATGGGCATGTAATTTGATAAGAAATATTCATAAATATTAGACATTTTATCAACAATAATCTGATTGGTTTCTTTAAATTATTAATAAATTATTTCCTTCATTCGAAACAAAAGCCATTTTTTTATTTTCTAGTTTATGTAATTATGTTTATTCAAAAGAATTAATAATAAAATAATAACATATCACTGACACAATTTTCTCAACAAACAACAATACAGCATAATTTGTTTACTCTATCAATAAAAATTTTTGACAGTTTATGATACTCATCAAATAACAAAAGAATGGAGAAAATATATTTAAAAAAATTACAAATAAACATTTTTCAACGCCCTACTAAATTTTCCGCTATTATCATCAAAGAATTCTTTCCAAGTTTGTTATTAAATAAAATTAAGTACAGCTGAAAACTATACTCCAATATATTTGCATTTGGAGTAGTTAATGATCAGTTCTGCCTTTGATGTTCTCTTTGTCCACTGAAGCTCATAATGACTCCATCTACTCCAAGAAAGTCGTATTTTCTGTACATTAACATTTTTTATTAATCTATTCAATTGTAAAATGCGAATTTATTTCAGAATTCTACCAGTTTTATTTTTTATAATTAAATTTTAAAAAAATCGCCATTTGAATAGGCGGAATGTTTCGATTTTGAGTAACTTCCTTACAAAGAAGAGAGAGAGAGAGAAAAAAAGAGAGAACTTATTCTTCTGTAAATCGATAAAATTTATTACGGAGGATTATTTATATTTACAAAATTATACACTTATTAGACATGGCACGCGTGCAAATTCACTCATTATCGCTAGTTTGGAAAGTTTTAATTACATATGTGGTTGACTTATTCTTTATCCTGAAAAGATTATTTCTCCTGCTTGTCTTAGTGTACTACGGAGAAGCATTATCACGAAGGGCGAGATAAGAATTCATTCTGCACGCCCAAACTAATGATAATCCCAAATGGAAGCATATGGAAGACGTAAGTTCTCGAGTTGGAACGACTTTCTACCTTGTGCTTAATTAGCTTTAGACAAGACTACAGATGTGGTAAATTATGGAGCTAAAACGAAACAATTTCCTAGAGAAATTAGTATAAACAAATCAAAACGCTAGAAGCGTTATCAATAATAAAACTCTCCCCCTCGGACATACCTTTAGAGAATTCGAGATGGAAAAATCAAAGTTTGTTTAAACAACTCCTCAAAAATTAAAGTAAGCGCAATAATTTTAAACGTTTAATTAACTTTCGACTTGATTAAAGATTAGAAAATTTAAAGACTATTAAAAAAAATGTATTAAATTCATTAAAATTAATAAAAAATATATATATAATCAAATTTTTATATTTATTTACGTTAAAGGTCCGAATTTAATCAGATAAAAACACATTGTTAATTATTCAATAAATAAGTAAAATTTTCTTAAAAAAGTAGAGATATTTTTACATATTTATGCACTTAAATTTCTTCTTCTTCCTTTTTTAAAGAAAATGCGATTAAATATCCAATTGAAATTGGGGATTGTGGTTTGAAAAACTATCTTGGTCCAGGTTTATCTTTATGTGATCTTTGCTGGTTAATTGCTTAACAATGGCTTACCTTTATCTTATATAGGGTTTGGAGTCGTAAATGTGTTCTTAAACACGATAGACAAACGCCAGACGCCTGCCGCAATAGCGAACCCTTCCAGACTAAGAGACGCCAGTAAGGCGTTTTTCCAAAAAGTCTCTTTCTCATTTCCCAGCTGCGCATGCTCTACAATTAATTGTGTCTATTTAGCGGAAATGACGTTATATCACCTTTGCTTTCTCAATAAATCTATCGCAGGAAATGACGTAGTATTCGCCAATGACGGCAGACGTCTTATCGATTTAAGGAAATTTATAAAATCATTTTGAAGCCAACGATTTGATTCGTTTATAACGTAATCATCTTTTTGATTTTTGTACTTCTTTTGTGACGTAAACTGTGTCGTCGGCGTAATTTGGACCCATTTATCAATATCCGGAAAATGGAAGGATTAATGCAAAATAGTTAATAGCAAAATTCTTTTTTATGAGTATTTTTTTATTTTTCCTCTGGTGAATTTTTAATTAGTCTTCACCAATTTTTAAAAAATTCTTATCGAAGTAAATTAAAGCTTGTTCTGTTTTAAATAATTAAGAAATATTTTTTTATATATCTTAATAATATAAAAAGCAAACAGAAAAAAATCGATAAATCGTTAGAAAAATGCGGAATTAAGAATAAGGATAACAGAAAAAATCCAAATTAATCAGACTTTTAAAAAGTCGTATGGATCTACGATAATAATAATAATAAAAAAATTCGCAAATATTGTCAGGTTTTTGGCAAAACTTCGCTTTTAATATCGCATATACTACGATAAAACATGCCAAATCTGGTTATTTGACTAGAAAAAAAAGGGAGTGAAAAAATAATAATCTGTCAAGAACATAATCTATCAAAATGTCTAAGAAAATGTTGTTAGGAAAGCAAAAAAAATAGCATTAAAAAAAAGGAGAGAAGATTACTCATCCTGATAAAAATGATTTTTATTGTACTAAATAGCCATTTATGCAGTTTATGCAGATTTTGAGTTTAAAATTATTAATATTGGGCGCTGCCAGTTCATATATCAAGCTACTACTAACCACTATACATTTGTAGCCTTATTCAATGATTAAGATGACTCAATTAAACAGCAGCCAGCTTAAGGAACATCTTACAGGTGACAATATTGCGAAATTCCCTACGCTGTCAGGATTCCCCCAACGATTAGCCATTAAACACCTCAGGTATTCCCCATTTGGTTCTATTTCCCTCCCTATTGACGTCATTTTGCCTCTCAGATCTTCGACTTAGTTTGAGATCGTAGATACTAAAGGGATTTCCGGAGGAAGTGTTTCTGAAGAGATTAATAACCTCTACTTCACTAACATTCTACCTCCAATTGCTTCCGATCGTCATCACTCACACTGTATGACACCGCTTTTGTACTCTGATTGCTTAAAACAGTAAATCCTTCTGAAATATGGAGAAAAAAAATCATTTGCTTTCTTATTTTTTCATCCATACGAATCGAATTTTTCTTAATGTTTATTATATGCTTAATTTATTACACGTGTATTGATTTATTACGCGCAATTTTCTACAGAAACTAATTAATATACTGATAATCAATTAAGTGCTTTCCTTTTACTAGAATTTACTGAAAGGTTACTATAGATTAATATCTTTAGTTTTTTTTTATTTATTAGCTTCTATGCAATCTTCCAATATAAAAAATTAAAAGCGTAGAATTCGTAACTGTTTTAATAATTTAAAAGCATCAAAAATATACAAGTTGTTTCATCAATTTTTTAAAATTAAATAATAAATATTTTTCCTTATATTTTGTTTAATAAATCTTAATATTTTATGCAAAAAACTAAATAAAAATGTTATTATTTTCCCGCTATAACTTGCAGTTTTCTGCTATTTTTCATCGGATCTTTGATCTTTTTTTTTCATTTCGGGCTTGTGTCAGGACACGAAATTTAGCGAAAATAATAAATTAATACCACAAAAATAAACAATGCTTTGACGAAAACGTAGTAAAAAAAACTTAATCTCCAGACTCTTGTATTTTTTCAGTTAGTTGGCAGATTTGTTTATTTATTTTTTAACCTTTTTTTCTTGAAAGTTGTAAGAATAATAATCACGACTTTGCGTATATTTTTGTTAATTTAATTAAACTAATTTTATAATTTAATTTTTAAAAAATATATTAAAAAGTTACGCATTTTAGAAAAAAAATTTAATTATTTTTATATTTTGTATTTTCTAAAATGTAGGTCAAGTATTTCTTAAGTCAGTAGTTTTGTAAGTCTTGTTTTAAAAAAATAAAAATAAGATAATGAAAAGAAAGAAACCAAGGAGAGCAAAAAGTAACTTTATAATTAGAAGTTATAGAAAAGAAAAGAATGTTAAATTATGAAGAAAAATTGATGAATATGTAATATCGAATGCTTGTTGTAAAGACTGAATAGTAAATCAAATGCGCTTAGATAAATTTATCATTAAACAGTACAAAAAAAGATCTTACTTTATGTAGATCCATATTTAAAAAATCACAAAGAAACCAAATAAATTAGAAATTTTTGTTACTACAAGTAATAAAAATTGCAAATTTACTTACAATTTTTATCTCAAAAATTGGAAACACAACGCTAAGTTAAACTGTTTCATATTAACCTGTATAAACCTTCCATTAATTCGTGAAATTATATGTATTATAACATAAATATACGGAAATTAGTATCTAAATCGACGTGTTAGAGTCTTGATATTGCTATCGATATTTATTTCTGTTCGATTTTATCCACTGTACTATACGTCGTCTCTCATTTATTGCATTGTTTAACGATTCACTCTGTAGCGGGAGGAGAAAAAATAAATCTACAAAGTGAAAACAAAAAGAAAGTTTGCGATAAAAATTCTGATTGAAATAAGAAAAAGAAAGCAAAGTCGAATAAAAAAAAGAAGAAGAAGAAAAGTTGAGAGAGAGAGAAGGAAAGAAGCATAAAACTCAAAATTTTGCAATTCCTCAAGATGTTCTGAAGTGTATTTCTTATTCTTTAACTATCTCTTAACTAAACGAAGTATTTTAAATTTGTAGACAGCCGAAAGTAAGAGAAAAAGCGTCCAATAAAGTATTCTTACGTTTTCAGGATACTAATAAAAGTTGATTTAGGGAGAACGAGGAAGAGAAATCAAACGTAGTAAGGAATGTGCCGAGAAAGTAAACGGAAGATAAGTTTTCCCTAGAGGTGAGATATTTTCTATAGATAGACAGACAAGACCGTGACCCAACTTTGTTTCAATTAGTCTGTTGGTTTACGATGTCCCTTTAACGACAGCTAGATGTCGTAAAGAGACCTGAGTTTTCCGCTTCGAAACATCCGCTAGAAGACATGGCAATAGTTTCCAGTTGACCCGGAACTGAACGATTTGATGTCTAAAGTTGTTTAAATTCTTAAATTTACTCTTTTTTAAAAATTACAAATTTAAATTATGCAATTAAGGTAAATTTACTTACCCGATTAACGACGTTGAACGACGTATTATCGATGATATATGTGCATTAAAAAGTGGCTATACATTGCACTAACTCCGAAGAATATCTTTTCGTTACATGACCTAATTGGCATCTTTCCAGGATGTGTTCAATTGTTGTATTGCGCATGTTCAATAAATTCATTTTTCCTCTTCTCTGAATGAACACATATGATAACCTTTGGATACTTTATACATACATACATACACACACACACTCCTGACGTTTAATGTCAATATTGGGAGAAGGCATTAAATTTTCAATCAAAAATTTTAACCGGACTTTTCTATCGAAATTATTTAGAGATTTAAAGAATTTTTCTATATTATTTAAGCTATATAAATTGTATTTTATTATAAATTAAAACATTTTTTTAAATGGCGGCGGATTTATTAGTATTATATAAATTTTTATTTTGTTTCCAGCTTTTATAAAACTTGAATGAAGTCTTGCTTCTGAGTCCTTTTGATGTTTTNAATTAAAGCTTGTTCTGTTTTAAATAATTAAGAAATATTTTTTTATATATCTTAATAATATAAAAAGCAAACAGAAAAAAATCGATAAATCGTTAGAAAAATGCGGAATTAAGAATAAGGATAACAGAAAAAATCCAAATTAATCAGACTTTTAAAAAGTCGTATGGATCTTCGATAATAATAATAATAAAAAAATTCGCAAATATTGTCAGGTTTTTGGCAAAACTTCGCTTTTAATATCGCATATACTACGATAAAACATGCCAAATCTGGTTATTTGACTAGAAAAAAAAGGGAGTGAAAAAATAATAATCTGTCAAGAACATAATCTATCAAAATGTCTAAGAAAATGTTGTTAGGAAAGCAAAAAAAATAGCATTAAAAAAAAGGAGAGAAGATTACTCATCCTGATAAAAATGATTTTTATTGTACTAAATAGCCATTTATGCAGTTTATGCAGATTTTGAGTTTAAAATTATTAATATTGGGCGCTGCCAGTTCATATATCAAGCTACTACTAACCACTATACATTTGTAGCCTTATTCAATGATTAAGATGACTCAATTAAACAGCAGCCAGCTTAAGGAACATCTTACAGGTGACAATATTGCGAAATTCCCTACGCTGTCAGGATTCCCCCAACGATTAGCCATTAAACACCTCAGGTATTCCCCATTTGGTTCTATTTCCCTCCCTATTGACGTCATTTTGCCTCTCAGATCTTCGACTTAGTTTGAGATCGTAGATACTAAAGGGATTTCCGGAGGAAGTGTTTCTGAAGAGATTAATAACCTCTACTTCACTAACATTCTACCTCCAATTGCTTCCGATCGTCATCACTCACACTGTATGACACCGCTTTTGTACTCTGATTGCTTAAAACAGTAAATCCTTCTGAAATATGGAGAAAAAAAATCATTTGCTTTCTTATTTTTTCATCCATACGAATCGAATTTTTCTTAATGTTTATTATATGCTTAATTTATTACACGTGTATTGATTTATTACGCGCAATTTTCTACAGAAACTAATTAATATACTGATAATCAATTAAGTGCTTTCCTTTTACTAGAATTTACTGAAAGGTTACTATAGATTAATATCTTTAGTTTTTTTTTATTTATTAGCTTCTATGCAATCT